TAATAGTTCCGTCCAGATGCATTTTTTAAGCGAAATAGCGAAATAAAATTTTGCACATGGAGCTGTTCGCTGCTCGGAATGAAGTGCCGTTTCTTGCAGGTAAAGCTGGTCAGACCGATGGACGCAGATGCACTGCCGCCTGATGGGCAGTTCGTATTCCATGTAACAGCGAATTACCGAATGTGCCATAATGCAATTCGGAAAGAAGAATTTGAAATCGCACTTGCAAACCATGCCAGCGGCGCAAAGCCAATTGGCGAAGTTATGGTATGCTTCTTTGTTGCAAGTCAAAATATCACAGTGAACTTCCGAGGAATGCTTCCCCTCCGGCGTGCCGTCATTTGCTTACATTTCTATGTTAAAAAAAAAAAAAAAAAACCTACCGTCTTATGGGCAATTACGGAACTTCGTTCAACATTTTGAGCTGTTCAAAGTATAAAAAACAAATAGTGGGCGAAATTTCGTAACTACTTACTGCAGCAGGTTTTATTTGAGCGATACCGACAGGCATAGCATGTTGCCATGCCGCAGAATGAAGATTCGACTCTCCCGGTGGAACAGCCAATTCCCCGCTTATTCGTTTCGTTGATAAATTTGTATCAGCTTACTCCAAGGGGGGAAACGCGCCATCAGCTTGCTTGTATGCAGTTCCTAGAGGAGGAAACTATCGGCAACCTTGCCAATGGGTGGTAGCTTTTGGCAGTCAAACGATTGAATCTCGCTGACTGCTTCTGGCTGCATCTCATGAGATTTTTCTTCAGAATATGAAATAGTAGGACTTCCTTCCATCCTTTTAGAATTTTCCATTACAACACCACGTCATATGCAATGCCACTTAATTAGTTGTCGACGAGCAGACAAAATCATCACACTAAACAGTATCCACTACCGCAACATTTCCGAGGACAGTACGAAAATGTAATTAGCTTATTTAAAGGTAAACGAATTGTTAGTTTTTGTTCCGAATAAACTGAATCAGTCACCATTGCGATGCCGCGTACTGAAAAAGTTGGATGGTGATGACGTGCGAGTTTATGCCGTAGATGTTGGTCGTACGTTTATCGCTAAAATCTTCGAACTCAGAGAAATCAGTGATGATTTGGCATCGATGCCATTTCGAGTGAGTCTTTGCACAATTTCAGGGTAGTCACTCTTTTCTTCTTCGCCGCTGTACTGGGTATTAATTCATATGGATTTTTCCCGCTTCCAAAGCTCCTCCCTCCTTCCCGCCCTTGCTGGCTCGCTTCGTCTTCTCAGCACCTTCGCCACTTCTCGACCTTCTCGTTTCCTGTCCTCTACCCAGGAATCGAGTTTACTGTGACTTGTAAAAAGTTTGCTTACAGACTATGAACTGGTTATTATTCAACCAAAATACGAGAATTAGGTTTTTGAGGGAGACAGACATTATCAGAAACAAAGATTATTTGAAGGGACGAAGTGGGAGACTATGCGGGTTATTCAGCCAAAATTCCGCTGTCGCTGACAACTACCATATTTGTTCGGTTTTTCCGTAAAATCCCTCCGTGTTTTTCCTCCTCTGTACTTTTTTTCTAGTTAACCAGCTTGGCGAATTTGGCAGATGCTTTTTATCAAATTTTTTTTCCTTTTCATCTGCTGTTTGCTTCACAATAACTTCATAATGACGTCGATTCAACATCAGTCTGCAGCATTTTTTTGTTATTTCTGATTGTTATTCTTTGGGCTTGGACCAGTATGAAAAGACAAATCGAAATTTATGTGGGTGGAGGAGAGGAGGAGGGGAGGAGGGGAGGGTGGAGAGGAGGAGGCGGGAGGAGG